TTAATATAGCCACTACAGTGACCATCAAAACCATGAAAAAATATTGCCGTAGACAGTTTATTTTGCGACACCACAAAACAAACGATAGTGTAAAATGAAATGACAGATGTTTTTATATCGTCATCCGATATATATCGTTATATCGAACAGCCCTAATTTATATGACACCAAATCATATGTTTAAAATGTTTAAAAACTCTTTAATATCAGAGAGAAACCCCGACAATCAGCTGACCCCCTATAAACAAGCACTTTGCGACAGTGGGAAGGAAGAACACTCTTTTAACAGGAAGAAACCTGTGGGAAAAGAAGGCTCGGATGAGATTGGTAAAGTTGTAATGAAACTTAAACTTTAAAATATAAAAACGCTGAATACAAACCTCCTGTACAGTTCCTTCTGCTCATCCCCAACCAATCACAGCAGGTGGATGCGCTCTCTGCCAGAGGTTACTTCCTGTTAAAAGGGAGTTTTTCCTCTCCACTGTTGCTTGTTCATAAGGTTTTGTCTAATTATCTGGGTTTTCTTTCTGTCATGGTGGAGTCTTTACCTCACAATATAAAATGCCTTGAGGTGACTGTTGTGATTTGGTGCTGTATAAATACAATGGAAATGAAAAACCAACATCTTTTCCTGCAAGTAAACACATCATTTTTTGATATAAAGTCATATTTTTAATATGGGAGTCTGTTTTGCAGCTAGATGAGATGAGGTCTCCAGTTTTTATTTTACTTTGTGACTATACTGCGCTTTGTTTATTTATTGTCCACTTTGGTGTCGGGCTGCTGTTGTTGTCGCTGTCCCCTTCTGTCTGCTCACACTGTCAACTGGCTGAACTCTAACGGGATGCTGCTCCGATGCTGCTTTGCCTTCCTCCGCTTCCTCCTTGTCCACGTCTCGCTCTGTTCCTCCTTTTTGTCCGTTTTTGTCGCCCTCCCTCCCTCTGTCTCCGTTCTTTCTCTCTGTCGCTCTACCTCAGGTCTGACGCCTGCTCTGGCTTGTGCTCCTAGTAGAGAGGTGGCTGACTGTTTGGCTCTCATTCTGGCTACCATGATGCCTTTCTGCTCACCTTGCAGCTCTGGAGCTCCCTCCCCAGGGTCCTTGTTGAGGCATATACCCCACCAGGGGGGTAAAGGCCTATCCACTGGCCCTCGGGCGTCACGCAGCCCCAGGAACCCCTCGGGACCATCCAGCGAGGGAACCACAGAGAACGACTCAGAGGATTCCGAAACTTTCTGACCCCTCTAAACCGACTCTCTAGCTTCCTACCTCCAAGAGTGCACGTGAACGTCTTACCTCTCTCCTCGGCGAGGAATGATGCAGTGTTTGAGTGCACAACTGAGGGAGAAGGATAGAGACTTGGTCATTCATAGAGCCCATAAAAGTTCAATATTAAATAAATAACTTGTGGACAATAATTAATCGTAAGATGAGTTGGAATATTTTCTAATAGATGGTTAAATAATATTCATATTTCTCATGTCTTCTGTTTGTTTAATATTGAACCTTTGGTGCTCCACATGCAGTGTCTATATCTTCTGTTCCCCATGTTGGGAACATGAACACGAACTGAATCGCTCTGCTTTGACGCCAGGCTGGAGACCCTGCAGCTTCTTTTTTTGTAATGCTCTTTTTTTAAAAGAAAAACCAAGATGGGAGCAGCTGCACTGCCCAGGACTGACTGACTGGAGCCCAACGAGTCGCTCCGTGAACAAGAACTCGATCTGGACCAGTTTGGGTCTGCATGCTTGTGTTAATTTACACCACGGTTCATTCTTTCTACTCACGGGTGCTTAAATCCAAACGACCTCGGTACTTAGTCTCTGCACGGCACAGCAGCTCGCTGCGGAGACTCGTGTTGTCTTTTTAAAAAAAGCCATTTTTAACTGTTTGTACAAAACGAAGGAGACTATTAAGAAATCAGAGTGTAATTTTAAACTTTTTATGATTTTAGGCTTGTTGTACCAAATATTTGACTTCCACGAGTAAATAATGAACATGTGACAAAAGGTCATATAAACAGGTACATAGAGCTTGTTTTTAACTGTTTAACAGCTGAAGCACAAATTTGTAGGTTTTTGTTTGGTTTGGATGACGTTTGGATAGAATGGGAATTGTGTGGCCTCTCCGAAAGACGTTCCTAGTTCAACTGTAGACCAGAATAGAGGATACGAAACACTAGGTACATCTCAATGACCTTTACATCGAGAAATCCAGATGACACAGCCCTGACGAAAGATTCCTCAAGCCTGATTTAGAGTTCTGTGGTAAATCATGGTAGAGCTTACCATGTGTAACCCACGTAAGTGGCCGTCAGCATTTATGCTTGTGCTGGTTCATTACATGTTAATTACCAAGTGGGTATGTCCACTGATGTTTCCAGCTGATGGAAACATCCTGGGTAAACATATTTGTCCCTGAAGTTTTTCTACTTCTTTCCACATTCCCTCACGTCAATTAATAAATAAATATCCCAAGTTCGTTTCAGTTCCACAGTCACGTGTGTTTCAGCATAAATTTAAATGCTAATGCAAACACTGAGGCACAAAGCTGTGTTCAGAAGAGCTGAACAGTAATAATGATAGTCTGTTAATGTTAAATAAGTTAACGTTAGCCTCAAGAGGACATAGATACATGCTACGTTAGCATAATCCTGACAAATCTTTTGCTATGTTAGCCATTTCATGTTTCATGTTGAAGGATGCATTTATATCTGATTTAATTTTATATTAATCAAAGCGTGGTACATTTTATGGTAGTATAGTAGCTACACAGATAAGTCAAAATCCTAGTTCAATTTAAAAAAGGATTGCGTTAGCAGTGCTGTTAGCCTAAAGAAAATAGCTGCTACATTAGCACAAAGTGTTTTTACTATATTAGATCAAAGCTAGTGGTATCTAATGTTGTTGTTCGGGACATTTTTGAAAACATTCAGTATTGTCAGTATGTGGTGTAAAGTCAAGAACTAATGTATCACAGGTGGAGTTGTAGATATCAACCATGGGGGTTAGCATTGCTGCTATGCTAAAACCAGCCTGGGGGTTCTTCCAGTTTAAAACCAGACTGAAGAGATAAAGACGCTTGTGTCCACCACTTGAATGACTTCCTGTGGCCATGAAACAAAGGCTGTTCTCTTGATTCTTTGAAGCACCATCTGTACTTTTAATGGAGTGATGTGATAAGGTAATGGGGATGTACCTAGTGATGAATATAAGGTCTGTGGAGATCAGATTGAAAGATGAGATTTATGCATTTTGTCCTCTGGCCTTGAATGGCCATCTGCACTGTTTTCACTCCATTTGCATCCCTACCTGTTGTGTTGTGCATGCTTGCACACTTCCAGGCAAAGCTTCTTTTTTTGTACTTTAATGTTTAATCGTAAATGCCCAGATTCTCAACAAAGACCAAATTTCTGAGGCAATGAAAAGCTCTGTTTAGCTCTGTTGTGCTATATATGATCCATTACACGGTGGTACAAACAATGCCAGCACTTAAATGTAAATTAACACAGGGCTTTGACCACTTTCCTCACATTCCTCCCCACTGTTTGTCGCTCTGCCAGCTATGTGCCATTGTTTCGAATGTGTCCAGTGCCTTGATGAGTCTTTTTTTCTTTTATGAGTAGTTGGAAAGGATGAGTTCACTATTATTGCAAAATAGGAAAAGTGTTGGTGGTACCGAGTGGTGCAGATTTTAGCCATGCTTTGAGAGATTTACCTCAGACCTCTACCGTTTTATTGTTTGTGTAGGTTTTTCGCCTTTTGTACACACCAGACACTTTTAAAAGTGAGAAGAAAGTTCCAAACCAGCCGTCAGTTATGAGGAGCTGCTAAATGGATTTGAAGGTCAAACTTGTAAAACCAGACTTGATGTGCTGCTGTGGTCATATGATGTGACTGAAAGCACAGTTACTGAATGGACCTATAAATATAAATCTCACTGCAAGAAGAAAGAAGGAATACTTGATTCATTGTTTAAGTTGGGAAATGACTGAAACCGTGAAAACAGCGATCTCTTTCTCCTCTCTGTGGAGGTGCAAATCTTAAAACCTGGACAAACAAAAACTAGGCGTGGCTGAGCACCACCAGGTACCACCAGTTTTTTTGAAATTGTGTGAAATTATTCTTTAATGCGTTGAGCTAAATATGAGTGGTTATGTTGTATTGAATGACAGTGTTTGACACAGTTTTGGTTGTTTTGTCACCTTAAACCTCTGAGGTCTAAGTCATCATTTTGTTTTTGAGTTTTTGCAAAAAATGTGAATTGTTTTTCGTGTTGTCAGTTGAACTGATTTTTTCTTTGGCCCCTGATTGCCAAGATTTTGGAGAACAAAGTAATAAAAAGGAAAAAATGATGTTTGCTTGCCGAGGGTAGGGTCGGGGTCACCACCTGTGACAACTTAGACCCGAGAGAGTTAAAGGCTGGAGATTTAATCCCCCTAATTTTATTGTCAACAAATCCACTGCTCCATAAATCCTTTTGTTCCTCATGCAATAAATTAAGGAGGTTTTACCGTCAGACCTCATACTCTTCCTGCTAGATGATTAACTCGTAATACTCACCCAGTTGAGTGAGTATTTGGAAGCCTTTGATTTCCAACGTATTCCGAGTGGAAAGCCTTTTAGTCTTCTGTTATTGTTACACGAGTGAGTCTTACTACAGCAAGATCGATTTCAACTTTGCAACAACAGTCGAGGCCTGCGGCTCAGAGCAAGGACTTAGTTATCAGTCATTTGTTGACAATAAGAAAAAAAGACAATATCTCCAGCCGTGTGTGTGTGTGTGTGTGTGTGTGTGTGTGTGTGTGCGCACTAGCTTAGGTACTGATATGAAATCCACCTGCTTTTTTGTACATTATGTACTGTAAGGGAAAGCTTTGTATGAAGAAATCTCCATCCCAGATGGTTTTGTTTGACTTTGGATTTAAAACGTAATGAGTTGTGAATCCTGTTAGCTGCCAGATAAGCACACATATTGTTAGCAAGCACAGTCTTTACTGCCTCCGCTGTCCCTGAGAGACAGAGCCTGTCCGCCAGTATTCAACCAGAAAATGAGCTTCAGCAGGCCTGACAATCGTCGTGTGATTTTCATAGCAGTTCCTGATGCAGTACGGCATGCTGAGGGCTGTTTGTCACCTCCACTTTGTTTTATATTAACTGTACAACAATAAAAATCTGTTTGGAGTTAAAAACATGCCAATTCTTTTCTTTTTCCATCAATCTGTGAGGAGACTCATTACACCAGAGATGTCAGACTCATCTTACATTGTGGGTCACATACAACCTGTTTTGATCTGTGGGCCAGACCAGTGAAAACCCAGTTTCTGTCAGTGTAAAGAAACCTAACTACTCATGTAATCAATCATTAGTTTAAGACAGAGAAGAGTAATTTCAACAATATGTCTCTACATGATAAAGAAATGCTGCTGTAGTAAATGAAAGAAAGCACAAGTTGTGCTTACAGATTTTAAATGTGTAAAATTACAGATGTGTGTAACTGAATTACTTCAGTATACTGTAAGTGACCGTGGGGTCTTTATCAGTAGGAAAAGCTGAAAATACAGTTAAAAGTCTGACATTTTTGTCCTTCACATTTTCCAGAGCTCCCTAGCGGGCCTGATTGGAGGTTCAAGGTTCTTTATTCGTCACATGCATAGTTATACAAGTATAACACAGAGTGAAATGTAACCTGACACGCTCCTTGACCAGGATGTGATGTTCTGTGTGAGGATGCTCTCCGCAGCACCTGCATAGAAAGTCCTGAGGATCTCTGGAGACACCCTGAACTTCCTCAGTTGTCGTAGGTGATACAGGCGCTGCCTGGCCTTTTTGGTCTGGACCTGAATGTGGGCAGACCATGTCAGGTCTGAGGAGATGTGGACACCGAGATACTTGAAGGACTGCACCCTCTCCACTGGAGCTCCATTGATGATAATGGGCTTGTAGTCTCTGTGCTGACTCCTTCTGAAGTCCACCACCAGCTCCGTGGTCTTGCTGACGTTCAGCTGGAGATGGTTGTCCCGGCACCATGATGCCAGATTCTTCACCACTGGAGCGGATCTGTGGTGTCTGGGATGGAGGAGGAGATGATGTTCTTCAGCAGCCTCTCAAACACCTTCATTACTACCGAGGTCAGTGCAACTGGCCGGTAATCGTTCAGGGATGAGGGTTTGCTGTTCTTGGGCACAGGGATGATGGTGGATCTTTTGAAGCATGTGGGGACCACAGACTTCGCCAGGGACTCGTTGAAGATGGAAGTGAACACACCTGCTAGCTGGTCAGCACAGCAGTGCAGCAGACGGCCGGTGATGCCGTCTGCTGCACTGCTTTCTCTGTGCTCACTCTCCTCAATGCCGCTCGGACGTCGTGCTCCTCATTGGTCTGGTTGTTGGACTGATTCTGGTCCCTGGGCTTGATGTTTGACATCTGCGTTATACTGTCCGTGTTCATGTTTCTCAGAGCATATGCTTTATATGGTCAATGCTACAGGCACAGCACACCCATGAAGTACAGACAGGTTGCTTGCTACCTCTCACTAGGCTCCCAGATGTTAGCCAATCACAAGTAAAGGGGCATTAAGAGGATTAATGTATGGACTATTTAAAAACAACGCAAAAACACTTGTTTCTCATTTCCCACAGAAGAAAACAGAAATGTCTGACAGTGTGCTTATTGTCAGATTGAATTATTAGAAACAGGTCAATTAATGTGATGAAGTGGTTTGGGAAAGCCTGAAAACCCCAAAACAGGCTGAAAGACACGAAAAAGTTCCACAGTGCTGAGAAGAACTGGGTGAGGACTCTCAAGTAAAGTACTTTAACGGTCCCATTCATTCATCACTCATCCTTTAACAGCATCCAGTGTAACTGAAACTCTCATGATTGGTTAAACCCTGTTTTCGATCCTGTGAAATGAATGAAATAATATTAAAAACAGAAAATGATCCCCAGCAAGAAGCCGGAAGTATTTTTGATTGTCTTTCAGTTCTCTGTCTGATAAAGAGTGCAGTTAAGACGAGCCATTGCAACATAGATGTATGTTGAGGGCTGAGGTGACAACATGTATATACAAACTTGCTTATGTTTATAGGACCACCTTGTGTCTTCCTTTTATTTTTCATTTTTCCCTTGCTGTAAGAGCTCTGTAACTCCGACATTTCTCATCTGGGGGATAATAAAGGTTTATTCTATTCTATATTCGTGCATCTATCTTCATTAACATCAGTGGAAACAGAAGATATTGATAAGAACCTTTTAATAGTTACATAATCTCTTTACATTTACAAATTTTAAATTACATGAATGAGTCTTTTTAACAAACTAAAACTGCCACAGCGACTACCGTCAGTGGCTCCACTCATGGCACTAATTATAAAATAACAGGAATCCAGAGGGTTAGTCATTAGAACCTGATTATACTGGGATAAAACTGAATGTTCTAGACTGTTTTCATAATGCCACGGATGCAGAGTGCTGGCTCTGCTGGAATGACACTGCTGTCTGTCAGGATTTAGCCTGCACCATTCTTAAAGATTTACAAGGTCCAGTGTGCTTCTAGCTCTCAGCCAGGCGTTTACAGGAAAGTCTGCTTTGTGCACAGTGGCTGTGTTTCTGTTGATCAGTACTCAGTCTCAGCAGTTAGTTCCCAGACCAGTCCAGTGGTCAGGGACCATCAGGAAGTATTTGTCCATGGCTTCGCAGAAGCGAGCTCTGTACAGCTCCGGAGAAACCACAGTGGGCATCTTCCCTGGAAACAAAGCACAGCAACTCGTCAGAGGAGAAGGAGGATTGTAATTCAGCTGGAAGTACACCGATGAAGAAGAAAAACAAAAGCATTCTGTCATATATACACATATACATTTATATTAAACTCTACCTAAGCACTCAAAGTGTTTTATAAAACTGGCTGAAGTTTAAATGATTGAAGCCAACACATGAACCTCCTGTGAGCTAAAAGCTCAGGCTTCATATGTTGGAGAGTAACTCCACTATTGCCACTTTCTCTCTGTTGTTCTCATTGGCTTTGTGTTAAAGTTTATTTATCTTAGGTTTCACGTCTATGTGCTCAGATTTGACACCGAGCTTTAACACTAAGGGTGACTTGGCGTTTCACAGCCCCTACACGAGCTGGACACAAATATCTAAGGCTACGTTCACACTGCAGGTCTTAATGCTCAATTCCGATTTTTTGATCAACTCCGATTTTTTTTGTCTGCGTGTTCACACTACAATTAAAATGTGACAGCAGACGCGCTCTAGTGTGAACCCTCAAAGCGGCCCGCATGTGCAAAAGAAGACGTCGCACACAACGCGCTCTGTTTAGACCCAGAGCAAACAGTATTTGCCTTAAAATTGGAAGGTTGCCGGTTCGAGCCCCGGCTTGGACAGTCTCGGTCGTTGTGTCCTTGGGTGAGACACTTCATCCGTTGCCTACTGGTGGTGGTCAGAGGGCCCGGTGGCGCCAGTGTCCAGCAGCCTCGCCCCTGTCAGTGCGCCCCAGGGTGGCTGTGGCTACAATGTAGCTTGCCATCACCAGTGTGTGAATGTGTGTGTGAATGGGTGGATGACTGGTTGTGTAAAGCGCTTTGGGATCCTTAGGGACTAGAAAAGCGCTACACAAATACAGGCCATTTACCATTTGCCGTTTCCCAATTTAGCTTCAAGTTGTAAAGTTATTTTGTTATTTACATATGGCCTGATAATTATCCTTATTGCTGTTTTAGAGGAGCGGTGCTTCAAAGGATAGTTGCAGATTTCTGTCAGAATCTGCAGATTATACAGTACAAATAAAATGTTCACGTTTCTCCAACGTTGTCTTCCCAACAGTTTCACTGACATCTACGCTGGATGGCCAGGAAGCGTTCACGATGTCTTCTCGGGCGCTGATAATTGGCGTCTGTCTTGTGTCAGTGACGTAAAAGACGGATTTAATGCGACATGACCGTTCAAACAGCAGTCGCTTTCAAAAACATCAGATATGTATCGCATTCAGTACCACATATGAAAGTGACCCAGATCGGATTTGAAAATATCGGATTTGTGCCGTTCACACTGTCATACCATGATGGGATATGGGTCGCACAGGGTCAGAAAAGTCAGATTTGATGTGCTTTCGCCTGCAGTGTGAACGTAGCCTAAGTAATCCATCCCTCCATATGCAGCCATACTTTCTGTGGGCTTTATGACATTTACCTTGGCCTCCGAGGATTCCAGTGGATTTAACAACCATTTCCAGTCTCTTGTCCCAGGTGAACGTCCTGATGTAATCTGCAGAAACGAGAGAGGGGAACAAATTAAAACAAAACCCCAACAAAAGTCTCCAAAAAACGCTTCTCCTCCTCCTCTCACCTATAATCCCAACGACCAGCTGCTCGGTGGCGTCGTCCCGCCCAACCAGCAGGGAGTAGTCAATGATGAGGTGGCTAGACAGGAAGTAGGCGTCGCTGTGAATGGCAGCTCGTAAGATGGACTTGCAGTGGGAGCGGATGTAGAGCGGGTTGTCGTGGATCAGCTTCAGCAAGTTCTCGTCCAGCAGGACCACCTCGCAGCTTTCCTTGCCCGATTCTGTCTTCACATTGCGGTTTCTCAGCGAGCCTTTGAGGTCGAATACCTGCAGGGACGTCACAGCATCAACAGAGGTCAAAAGGTCCTCATGATCCAAACAGCCACTACTGAGGAAACTGTGATGGATCTAAGATTTGTGTTAGACCTGTAAACACGTTTGTTCACACTTTGATGAATTACGGACAAACATGTTACAAGTATTGTCCTTTCCATGTTCTACATCAAGAATAAACAGTGTGTCCTGTCCTGTCTGCACTGAGAGGCAGAGTGACACCACATCTCTGACCTGAGCCATCTTGCGTCCATAAAACAGGTTTTCCATAACAAGGAGGTCCAGCTTCTTCTCCGTGTTGTTCTGAGAGTTCTTGTAGCCAATCCTGTACACACCCAGGATCTTCGCCAACGCCGTCGGCCGCTGTGGTGCAAACACGCTCGTTACTCATTTGCAATCAGATGGTTAGAAACGGTGCGAGTGTTTATGATGCATACTTTCTGCTGCACAGCTCCTGTGATGTAGGTAAAGTAGTGGGGTGCAAAGTCCAGGAAGGACTGGACCTCCAGTCTGGGCATCTGCTTCAGGATGAAGCGGTCGTCTGACAAGGCACACAGCAGGACTT